TTTTTTTTTTTAAGTAATATAAACCTAGGCTAATAAATATGATTGGTGATCAAACTAAGCAATACTGTTTTGAATTTTTATTAAAATTAAAACTATAAATTAATGAAATTGATTTCTATCTGTAAAGTATCTCTCAAAGTGATTCCAAAAGAGCAGTTTAAAATGTTTGAATGATGGCAGTACAATTTGGATGCCATTCAGTCAAGATTAATTACTTGTAGTAATTATTTTAATGTGAAGCAGTTAAGCACTTGGTTGCTAACCGGAAGGTTGGCGGGTCAGACCCACATAGTGGCCTCATGGGAGAAAGATCTAGCAGTCTGCTCCCACAAAGATCCAGCCTAGGATACCCTGTGAGACAGTTCTCCTCTGTCACATGGGGTCACTATGTGTTGATCAACTTGACAGTACACAGCAACTCATCTGTATATACAATTTCTGGTATACTTGGTGGAAAAATCAATTTGAAAAATCTAATACTCAGTCCTTAAAATTAAACCAAAGAATAAGTTTAATATAGAAAGTTTAAACAAAATGCCTTTCTAAAGACATACTCTCTGTAAAAGGGCTATCAATATTTTATTTGTGTTTTTGTTGGCATTTGCTCATGTTTTTAATAAACTGTTTCTCTCCCGTTAATTTATCCTACTGTATCAGTTACATGCAAAAGGATTCTGTTTATTTCAAGAACATATGACTTTTTCCTAGTGTTTTCCCACTTGCATGAAAAGGTTAAATTTCTCTAACACTGTAGTCATGAGTATCGAGTTGTCCTCCTTCCCTGATAGACATAGATTAATGAGGAAAAGCTATTCATTTCCAGTGTGATTCAGCATATGACTGTCTGCTGATGCCTCTTACTTCCGTGGCAATGCTGATTTGTTCTAAATTCTGAAACACAATTTTGTTCTGTCTGGGTAATGAAATTGCTAAGTTGGAATAACTTGATGGCAGTGGGATTTTTCAAGCAAGTGACAAGGACCTCTGGTGGCACAGTGATTAATCACTTGGCCACTAACTAATAGTTCAACAGTTCAAACTCACCAGATGCTCTGCAGGAAAAAGATGTGGCAATCTGCTTCTGTAAAGATTTCAGCCTTGGAAACCCTATGGGGCATCTCTAATCTGCCCTATAGCGTCACTATGAGTTAGAATCCACTCAACAACATTTTTTTTTTTAAGCATGTCACCACAACAGAGCATAGAATCCTGTTTTATAGATGACCATAATGAAAGCAAGAATCTTTTTATACCAGTTATGCTGTTAATGAGCTGAGACTATGTAAGTAATTTCCTCCATGGTGGCATAATATTCTCCATGACTGATGACGTTGAAGCCATTTGCCTTCAAGGTAGAAACTCTTAAAAGCTAAGAATGTTGTTGTTGTTGTTAGCTATTGAGGTGATTGCAACTTACAGAGACCGCCCTGTTGTACAGAGTAGAACTGCTCCAGAGGGTTTTCAAGTCTGTGATTTTTCAGAACCAGATCATAAAGCCTGTCTTCTGATTTGCCTCTGGGTGGGTTTGAACTGCCAACCTTTTGGCTAGTAGTCATGTGTTTAACCAGTTGTACCACCCAGGGTCTCAAGCTAAGAATAAACAAAAAACCCTGACTCATTGCTATTGAGTTAATTCCAACTCAGTGGCCCTATAAGTTAGAACTGCCCCATACAGTTTCCTAAGACTCTAAATCTTTATGGAAGCAGACTGCCACATTTTTCTGCAAAGCTGCTGGTGATCTTTCAACCACTGATCTTTCGGTTTGCAACTGAGTGCTTAACCACTGTGCCACCACCTTAAGCTAGGAATAAAAAACAACCAAACTCACTGTTGTCGAGTCTATTTGACTCACAGAGACCCCTCTTTGAGTTTCTGAGGCAGTATTTCTACAGAAGTAGATTGCCCAATCTTCCTTCCAAGGAGTGGCTGGTGGGTTTGAACTGCCAGCCTTCTGGTTAGCAGTCAAATGTGTTAGGCACTATGCCACTAGGAATGTTGTTGTTGTTGTTGTTATGTGCCATCCAGTCGGACCCAACTCATAGCAACCCCTCCTTGGGTTTCTGAGACAGTATCACTATGGAAGTAGATTGCCCAACCTTCCTTCTGAGGAGTGGCTGGTGGGTTTGAACCACCAGCCTTCTGGTCAGCAGTCAAGTGCCTTAGGCACTACGCTACCAGAGTTCCTAGCCACTAGGAAAAGGAGGACCTAAATGAAGTAAGCCCAGCAAATAAATAAAAGCCAGCTACCACTAAGCAGAATATTTGATTTGTTTATTTTGGTATATACCTTGCCAGCTTATTTTTAATTAAATATCTTTCAGCTACTTCAAGGAGGTTCAGAGCAGCTTCTGCGCTCTCTACATCTCCAGAAATCTCTTTCGTCTTACAACTATATCCATGTAGGAGCTCAATTAAAGGTGAGAATATCTTCTTTATGATTGCTCAGATAGAAAATCAGAGAATCAAATAATCAGAAGGGACATAAATAATTATCTGTTCTTTTAAGCAAATGAATGAATGTCTTAACAGATAGTTATCTCTCCTGTTCTGTTTTGTTCTTAAAACTATCAGGGACAGAAATTCAAAACACTATTGAATCAACAACTTTGCACAATAACTCATTACTATATTTTATAACTCTCTGACATGAAATAAGTTTCTGATGTCAATGTTTTGTTTTAATTTTAATTCAATTTTATTTTATTAAAATAAAAACAAAAGAGGTTTATTGAAGGATGCCGCGATTTGTGAATTGAGGTAGTACAGAGCAACAAGCAGTTACAAAGTGTTCTTCTACCAGCCAGAGGCCACACAAAGTTTAAATTTTAAAATATCAGAAACTAACAGTAAGAAATATTCTGATTGGCTATTAAAGTAAGTTGTTCTTATGTTGTGGGGATTGTAATCATTTTCATAAAACAAAATGTATCTGAACTGTTGAAAATAAATAAATGAATAAAGTTCTTGTGATTGACAGTTCTCAGTAAGTCATTAAGGACATGACCAGACAAGTTCATGCTAGTTATTCTACTTTCAACCACAGTCTTCCTGAGGACAAGCTATCCTTTCCTTGTTTACCCATCAACAGTCATGGATCACCTTCTCAGAAACAGAAGCAGAGCCTAGGACAAAATGGAGTTGGAGTCAGACCTCCTGTAAGCCATTTAGTTATGCTAAGCAACTCAAATTTTGGAGTGCTTTTACATATTCCCACCTGCTGATCATGAATTTCTATAAAACTTCTTTGATCACTATTATAAGAGTGTCTTCTTTTGCACAGACATCGTAATACCTTTCCTTAGATGGCCGCTTACTCTGATAAGCTTTTAAGACCCCACATGCTATTTGCCAAGCAAATGCTGCACACTGTCTAGTTTCCTTAATGTTCACCATGCTGTCGCTCAGACACTCTGCTTCTGTGATCTTAACTTGGGGTGAGTGTAAGGCAAGGCCACATTGGAGGAACTTTTTGGTTTTCCAAAAGGCTGACTCAAAAAAGAAACCAAAATTGTTTGCTAGAATGTAAACAGAAAACAAAATTTTAGTGACAGGTAGAGAGAGAGGGAAAAAATGGCCAGCAAAGAAGAACTTACTAGGTCAGAGTTCAACAAGTACAGTTTCTCTTGAAGTTTGTAAATTTGCAGATACAACTAAGCACTCCTAGAAGTACTAAAACATAGTTGTCAGACATATGCAAGAGCTCTGGTAGCATAGAGCCTAAGGCACTTGACTGCTAACCAGAAGGCTGGTGGTTTAAACCCACCAGCCACTCCTTGGAAGGAATGTTGGGCAATCTACTTCCATAGTGATACCACCAGAAACCCAAGGAAGGGTCACTATGAGTCAGGTCTGACTCAACGGCACATAACAACAACAACAAACACCCTGGAATCTATTTTATTTTCTTACAAAGCCAACAGCTATTTTTTTCCCAAATCCTTTAAAAGATTTTCAAAAGCAGTCTTAAGAATACCTGTGAGGCTAGCTCAAAAACCAGTCCTATTCAATACCATACAACATAAACATTAAACAAAAGTTTTCCAGTGGATCTAGTGGAAAGACAAGACACAAATGGGAACTCATTTTCTCAAAATGATCACTGAAATTCTAAGTTAGTTCTAGTAAATTCAGTTTAAAGTATAAACCCCAGCCAGTGTCCTAGTGGGGGAAAATCTAAGCTCATTTATCACGTATATTAAAAATTAGGTGAAACTTTGGCTTCGAGGGTCAAATAAATTCCTAGCGGAGAGTTGATCCTTTGATATTCCTTCATAACAGCCATATGAAACCTGGTTTCATTCTGATCTTAATTAATTCTGCCAGCTAGAGACCTAGTCTCTTACTAGTTTTTCTAGTTGGCGTGTACCTTCAGTGTCCATACTAGAATGGTTTGAAAAGGGGCAGATAGGAGTAGAGTTTTTACATTGCAGCTACCTGTTTTGTTTTGTTAATCTGGATACAGTAATTTGCAGGAAAGCAATTCAGCTTTCTGATGTTTCTTAGAAGCTTCTTAATTCAGGAGCCTTTCTATTCTAATTTACGGCACATATAACTCCAAAATGTGCCCCCTTTTTTCCTTACTTAATGAGACTATGCCCAGTAAATAGGTATAAGCAAGTGGCAGAGCCATGGTGCTTATCTATATATCAAGCAGGAGTCCCATAAGGGAACTCTACATTGCCCCAAGATAACAGCATTTCCCATTTTCAGAGAATGTTCAAGTTTGTTCAAAGTTTAGGACTCTCAGTAAAATCCTGATGGGAAGCACCATGGGGTTTGGACAGTATATTGCTTAAACCATGTGTGCCTTAGAGTTAGTTGCAGAGACATTGTCTTGTGGTCAGCAGGCAGCCTAGAGTTTCTGGCCTGTCCTTTGAACTGGCTTATCCTGACACTCTGGTAGCATAGTGCCTAAGGCATTTGACTGCTAACTCACCTCCAAAGGAAGGTTGGGCAATCTACTTCCTTAGTGGTACCACCTCAGAAATCCAAGGAGGGGTCGCTATGAGTCAGGTCCAACTCAACGACACATAACAACAAAAACAACATCCTGGCACAGGAGTCTTTAACCGTCTCACAGCTGACGACCACCCTACTGGCTCTTACTGGTCATCCTGTGCCCTTTTGTTTTTGCAGCTTATAGAGCATGAGATTCCATAAACTTAAAAATTTCTAGGACAGTAATTTACCCAGAACCTTGCACTGCTGCCACCAGCAGAAATATACAGACTCTTTCAAGAGATAGAGTTTAAAACAGATAAGACAAAATGAAATGGACAAGGATAAAACAAAATCAGAATCTCTCAATAAGCTTGAAGAGCTCTACAGAAAGAGACAAAGCTCGAGATTTGAGAAGCTGTTTATCTGGCAGTGACTCCTGGGAAATTCATGAAGCAGTGAGTCCAAACAGCCCTGCCCGGTAGCAAAGCCTGGTCCACAGTCCTCAGGAGCTGCTGTAGGCAATGGACCTTCGACCCCTGCTTCTAACACCAAGAAATACCATAGAACGACATCACAGATTCTGGTTAAAGTAAAGGCAAAAGAGGTTTATTGAGGGGTAGAGCGATTTGTGAATTGGGGTAGCACAAAGCAACCAGCCAGTTACAAAGCATTCCGTTTTAATTTTTAACGTTATTCCTACTTCTTTGATTTTGATACTGTGAAAATATTGATATGACTAGGAAATCTGCCTCCTAAGCAGATACATATAATTTGGTCAAATTCTTAAATTCTGTAAGACAGAAGAAAATAAAAAAGCACTTTGGTTGAAAATATCAATGACCTTCATTGACTGATTTTTCAAAACAGGAACCTCTGTCCAGCTTTCAAAATTGTCCATTTCTCCCACTCACAACTGAGTGCTTACAAACACATGTAGACCTATTTTTGCTCTTCTATTTCTAATTAATTGTCTGCTAGTCATTTTATAATGAATTTTAATAGTGTACAAACCAAATCAAACTCACTGCCGTCAAGTCAGATCCGACTCATAGCGACCCCTCCTTGGGTTTCCGAGGCAGTACTGGTAAGTAGAGGAGCCTGCCTGATTGTCTCCTGAACCCCAGAGACTCTAAACAGATGCTTACCAAGTCCTGTGCCTCATCAGTGGGTCAGCATTGTGTGTGCTGAGTGATGTTTCCATTCCTGAACTCACTGATTTTTTTCCTCTGGATCCTCATCCACCCTTCAGCTAATTTACTACGAAGGCATCAAGGCCTTGGGTACTTGAATTTAGCTTCATAATGGTTGGATTTTAATCTTCATGTGAAACTTAAGTTTACTGTTTTCATTCCTAGTGTTCTATCAACGATGCTGCAGAATTCAAAGTAGTAGCTGATGCCATGAAAGTCATTGGCTTCAAACCAGAGGAGATTCAAACAGCGTATAAAATTTTGGCTACTATTCTTCACCTGGTGAGTAGCGGCTTCTCTCAGAATTTGTGGTCCCCTTATGGAAACAGAATGCTCTTTCAGAAGATTTTTTCTTTTTCTTACCAATTTGAAAAGTAATTTATTTAGGGAAAATTTCTCACATGTTTTGGAGAAATTAGTATATCTATGTCTCTCCATCATTTCATAATATTATTAGGGATTTTTCTAAGCCACTGTAGGTTTTGAGACCACAGCTTTAGTTTATTTGTTATCAAACTTTAAAGTGGTTAATTGCAAGGACAGAATAATTCAGGAGTGATGTCACCACCAATGGTACAAACTGAAATCTTTTGAGCAGAATAAATTTCTAATTGCATTTGAAACAAATCTATAGATTTAATAATCTATGGAATGGGGATTTTGACCCTCTCATTTTACAAGTGGGGAGGTGAGACCTAGAGGGAGGGATGGCACGGCTGGCTCAATGGCAACCAGCTCATTGCAGAACCAACACTGTAAGCCGGGTCGGCAGATGTAGGGTCCAGTTCTTTTCCATTGTCACAAAACTAAAAAGAAATGAAAAACCATGTGCCAAACTTCCTTGCATTACTATTTCTATCTCAAACTCACTGCTGTTGAGTCAGATCCAACTCATAGTAACCCCTCCTTGGGTTTCCAAGGCAGTGTCACTACGGAAGTAGATTGCCCCATCTTCCTTTCAAGGAGTGGCCAGTAGGTTTGAACCACCAGTCTTCTGGTTAGCAGTCAATTGCCTTAGGCACTGTGCTACCAGAGCTCCTACTATTTATGTAGTTGTTGTAGTTATTAGGTGCCATCAAGTTAATTCGACCCAATTGACAAAGTACAAGTGTCCCATAGGGTTTCTATGCTGTAATCTTTATGGGAACAAATCACCAGATCCTTCTCTGGCATTGCCACTGGGTCGGTTTGAACTACCAATCTTTCAGTGAGCAGCTAAGCACTTAACTTTTGCACCAACGGGGCTCCTTCATTTGCGTGTTGTTGGAGTCACTTCTGACTCATAGCAACCCTAAGTACAACAGAAGGAAACACTGCCTGATCCTGTGCCCTTCTCACAATCGTTGCTGTGCTTAAAAGGCCATTGCTGCAGCCACGGTGTTGATCCATCTCACTGTAAAGAGATGTTTAAAATATAATGGGTATGTAACTTTATGATAAATGAGTAATGATATGAATTCAAATCTGGAATAAAAATTACCTTTCACTTTAATATAGCAAGATTTAACAGTAAATGAATCAGAAAGGTACAGGACCTTTAGGAAAAATATTATATGGTCCTATGAGTGATATCATCAATAAATGTTCCTGAATGGGAATATTTTAATGTTCTAAATTATCTCATCTCCTTGAATTAGTTTATAAACACACTGTAAGAATCCTCTCAAAATCCAAACAGAAATTTTATTTTGCTTTTAATTTGACATGATGATGCTAGAATCTGTCTGGAGCAATAAACATGTAAGAAGATCAAATAGAATTTTTAAAAGAAGAATAGTAGGGCAGGGGAAAGGGAGGAGAGGAGGCAGGACTAATTCTACCAGATTTAAAGTGATAGTAAAAGCTATAGGACTTTAAAGCTTGCTGCACAAATTCAACATGAATTTGATTAACAGACCAGTTGGTGTTCTGGGCACTTGCTAGATGGTTAATAAGTATTCACTGCTTGTTGAGTGAGTGGAATAGACCAAACACTTGGGGAAATTTAACATGTAATAAAGGTGCGATTTCAAATCAAGAGGCAAAGCTACACTATTCAAAAAATGGAACAACTAACTCTACCCATCTGGAAAAATAAAGTTAGATCCTTACCTTATACCCTATACCAACATAAACTGTTGGTGGATTGAAAGTTTAAATGTAAGAAAAAAGCTGTAAAAATAATAGAAGAAAATATTGAGTATTCCTAAAATCTGTGGAGTAGGCATGATCTAAGTATGACACAAAGACAGAGAAACCTAAAGTAAAAGATTAATTCATTTAAGTCATAGACTTGACCACATAAAAATGTAAAACTTACATATATCAAAAACATATATTAAAATTAAAAGATAGACAAGAATGTCTGGGGAAGAGGAAGAAAATGGGTGAAGTGCCAGGTTTTTATATGTAGAGATATGAATTATATTTAGAAAAATAGGTTCTACAAACAAAGTCACTTGAATTGCATTTTTAAGTTGGCAAAATACACACTTGACATACAGCTTCAAACTCTCATTAGAAATGTTATGCCTTGTTTTTCCTACTTTTGATACAGGGAAATTTAAAATTTATAGTGGATGGTGACACACCTCTTATTGAAAACAGCAAGGTGGTATCTGTCATAGCAGAGTTGCTCTCTACAAAGACTGACATGGTTGAGAAAGCTCTTCTTTACCGGACGGTGGCCACAGGCCGTGACGTCATCGACAAGCAACACACAGAACAAGAAGCCAGCTATGGCAGAGATGCCTTTGCGAAGGTGAGATTTTCCTACATCTTGTTGGCCCAGTGGTGATTTCCATTGCAATTTTAGTGCAGTTCTGTGAGGATGTATTCAGAGATTCCTTGAAAGTAGGTTAAGGCTTTTAGCAACAACCATCATGATCCTTTGGTCATCACATTCTCAGTAAAATGCCCATACTGCATCATTGCCAGAAAAAGTTCTGAGAAAAGCAAATGCAGGTTTACTATGAAGCTAATAGTTTTCAAGGTCCCTAGGTAGCATGTACCCCTTTCATGGCCCTAATTTTAAAGAAGGTTGGGCAATCTACTTCCGTAGTGATACCGCCTCAGAAATCCAAGGAGGGCTTGCTATGAGTCGGATCCAACTTGATGACAGTAAGTTTTGTTTTGCTTTGTTTTTTCATTCTTTCTCTACAAGAGGGATCATAAAATTGCTTGGCTATCAGGTCCCACAAAACCTGGTTCTGTCCCTCATGATAAACTATTGAAGGGTTTTATAGTATCTTTTAACTAGGCTTTATGGTTTTGCTCATAAGTAATTTTTTGAAAACTCAGTCAAGCATAGCAAGGGCTTTCTCTGAACCTGTAATAGCCAATCCTTATGTCAGTTTTTAAAAATATATTATCCTACAACAGAAAAGTAAGTTTAATTTTCCAATTTTCTATTGCATTATAACACTGGAGTATTTGCCACCTTAGTCCTGTCATAAAACAGTATCCCTTTGGTGACCTTTACTTCTGAGCTCAAAGTTTGCAACTAGCAAACTGAATCAGTCCTGTAATTTGCATTACAGTAATATCATGTAAATAGTTATATAACTCCTACAAAGTCCTGGATACTCAGCGGAGAATAAAGAGGTATGGAGTGAGGAATTGAAAGTAAAATTATGATGTGGAATTCCCGCCTCCACTGTTGCATTGCTTGTTAAGCTTTCCCACCGAGGAACCCCTAAAAGCAGAGGAGAGTAGACCAATACCTTATGAAGGAGGGTCTGGAGGTAGAATTGCCCCAAGCTTTACATTTTTAAGAATTTTATTATTTATATCAATAATTCATACAAATTAGCATTTTACTTCACAATCCCTCTTCCTTACATAGGCTAACAACCTAATATAGCCTTTCATAGACTATATAAACAAGTACAAAGATTTTTGTTACTGTTTTTCCAAAAATGCATTCTTTTATCCACTTAGTTTTTCTCTTTCAATAATTCTTCAAGTCCACTGATTGAGCTCTGATTCATTTTTGTTAATGACTGTATACCCACCTGTAGCGATGGTGTCATAATTTATTTAACCTTCCTCCTTAGAAGTCATTCACTTGGTTTCCATTTTTTGCCACTACAAACAATGCTACAAATTCTTGGGCACTAGGGCTTTTATTTCTTGTGGATGTGAATCCCAAGAGTGAGTTTGCTAGGTCAAAGAGTATACTGATTTTAAACATTAAATCTACTGATTTTATTGGCATATGATAATAGCTCATTGTTATTTTAATTTTTCATTACTTGTATGTTTGAGGGAGCTCTGGTGGCATAGTGCTTAAGGCACTTGACTGCTAACCAGAAGACTGGCAGTTCAAACCCACCAGCCACTCTCAGAAGGAAGGTTGGGCAATCTCCTTCTGTAGTGATAACTGCCTTGGAAACCCAAGGAGGGGTCACTATGAGTCAGACCTGACTAGACAGCAGTGAGTTTAGTTAGAGTATGTTTTGTAAGCTATTTATAGCTATTCTTCTGAGAATTACCTGAGTATATATCCTTCGTACGTTTTCCTTTTGAGTTATCTTCTTATTGTCAGTATCTCAGAGTTCTTTCTTTATCATAAACTTTAATCTGCCATCTATTATCTGTGTGACATGTGGTTTTTTGTTTTTTTCTTTTCCCCAAATCTAACATTTTTGAATGTTTAAATTTTTGCTGGTTGATTAGATTTCTGTCTATGCCATTTTGTTTTTCCACTCTTGTAAGGCTCAGGCTTGGTTTTTAGTCTTAGAAAGAATTGGAATTTTATTATAAGTGCAGTAGAGAGCTATTAGAGGACTTTAAGTAAGAGCAGTGACATCAAGTTGAAATTTTTTAAAAGATTACTCTAGCCCTTAGTATGGAGAATCGTATGAGGGGTGAAGAAAGAGTAAAAGCAAAGAGACGAATTAAAGGGATATTTCCGTAGTCCAGGAGAGAGCTGATGGCAGCTTGGACTAGGATGGTTGTACTGGGAATAGGGCTGCCTTGAGAAATAAAACACACAAGACTTGTTTTGGGGAATGAAAGAGTCAAGGATAATTTCTTACCATGTTTTGACTCAGTGTCACCTCTCCTTCCTCATTTCATGTCATATTGTAGCCTCCTTTCTTCATTCCAGCCACGTTAGTCTTACCCCAGACCTTACACCTTTATCCCTTTCTCCTCCTAGCCACAGGGCCTCTGCATGTGCTAGTTCCTTACCTGGCTTGCTTTTCTCTCTCCTGTTGCCCACTTAACTCTTACTCTTCCCTCTGACCTCATTGGTTTTGCAGAGAAGACTTCTGTGACCTTCCTGAATATGGAATAAATTAAATGCCCCTCAGAGCCCATCTGCTCCCTTTTGCTTTGTGTGTGTACGTATGAATGACTGTTTCCTTCACCCTGCGGCAGGTTCCTTGGAGGCTGAGACCACGTTTGTGTTTACTTACCACTGTCTCTCCAACAAATTACATATAGTAAATACTTAGCAAATGTTTGTTGGATTAATAAATAAATTCCTAAGTTTTGGTGCCATTTATTCATGGTTAAAAGTAGAGTGGGATCAGTTTTGGAAGAGTAGGAAGATCGAGACTTCTGACAAGACGTAAGTTTGAGATGGCTGCGAGACATCTAAGGGCACTGCAGGCAAGTGGTCAGGCCTGTGAGTCTGGAGCTCAGAGGACAGGTCTGGCTGGGGATGATGCATTCGGGCATTGTACTGTACTAATATTTTGTAATACTGGTGAGATGATTTAGAGAGAGGATATTAGACCATCTTTTAGAGATTAGGTAGAGGAAGAGATATTACCGATGGTCACCAAGAAGCAGCCAGTGAAATAGAAGAAAATTGAGCAGTTGTGGTATCGAAAATCCCAGAGGACTAAATAATAAGAGTAGCTGAGTAAGATAAGGACAAGAACATGTTTATCTAGTGATACTTAGGGTCCTTGATGATACATTTCAATGGAGTAGGGGAGTATAAGCCAAGACTGGAGTGGATTGAAGAGTAAATAGGAGGCGAAGAATGGAGGCAATGTGTATAAACATATGTGTAGGTGAAGAGAATGGCTAACTGGAGAGAGATGTTAAGGAAGGGGTTTCTGAAAATGCAGCATTGTGGAACATGATTATTCTTCCAGAAGAGAGGGAGATGAAGAGGGGAATTGAAGGAGGTAAGTCCCCAGATGACCTAAGGGAAGAGGATCTAGAGACCCAAGTGGTGGGTAGATAGGGTTTAGGGGGAGCAAAGACCCTTCTTGCATCGTAACAAGAGAGAACAGAGAAAGATGTTGAAACAAAAGGAACAGAGGGTGGGAGAAGCAGGGTATGGATGTGTGTTACCATGTAACTGGGTCTCTGCTGTCTTAGTGTGTGTGTCCTTGAGCACTGAATGTATGGTTTTGATTGTCAATGGATTTTCAAACTGTGACCTTTCTACTCAGATCTTTATTTAGCATTATAAATTAGTATTTCTATTTTTAGAATTCATAGAGCTTTAGTGGTACTAACTCTTTGTTTCCCTAATTTTTACAGTTGATGAAATTAACTGTAAGGCAATGAAGTGACAGACAAGGGTTTAAGCAAATTATTGATGGAATCATGCCTGGAGAATACAATATGTGTAGTGACGATAATAATCTTTTAAAAATCCAAACCATTTACACTTTAATTTTGCATAGATCATTTTTTTTTTTTAACAGATAACCTCTATTTCTAACTGTTCAATGTAGAATAATAATGGCTGGGCTAAGCAATTAAGAGAAAGTAGACAGGAATTTAAAACTCATCCCAAATCCAAACAGAGGACTCACTGTCAAATGGGCAAGGATTTACCATGTTGTTTCCCTCGCAGGCAATATACGAACGCCTTTTTTGTTGGATTGTTACTCGCATCAATGACATTATTGAGGTCAAGAACTATGACACTACAATCCATGGGAAAAACACTGTTATTGGTGTCTTGGATATCTATGGCTTTGAAATCTTTGACAACAACAGGTAAATTGGATACAATCTTTAAAATCCTGTTGTTTCTTTTGTTTGTTTGTCTAAAATTATTCCTTTTGCAGCTTTGAACAATTCTGCATCAATTACTGCAATGAGAAACTACAGCAGCTGTTTATCCAGCTAGTTCTGAAGCAAGAACAAGAAGAATATCAACGGGAAGGGATCCCTTGGAAGCACGTGAGTGGGATCTTTTGGAACATATCTACATGTGTTTCACATGTCATTGATAATGTCACAACTTATCATTCAAACTCCA